CCTACCCACTACATGCCAAGACAATCTCTCTACTAGTGACAATCAAAAATACCACCAGGCATTGCCAAATGTTCTCCAGGGGGTAAAATCACTCCTGGGTTCGAATCACTACCTTAGGGTGAAAAAGTCACAAAATGAATTGGGTCCTTGAATCACTGCATGAATGAGAGCCATCATCTGATGACTAGGAAGACACACATTGTACTGACAACAGGAGTGATGAGTAAATGTTTATTGTGTGAAACCACCAACTTTAGGGGCTTATTTCTTACAGCAGCTACATGACTCTAAACAGTCAGCATCACAATAACACCAAAAAAAAAAAAAAAAAACACCAGAAAACAAAGCACACCCAGAAACTGCAATCTTTTTGTATCTTCAATGCTGCTAATTAGCTGTACAATTCCAGATAAATTATCCAACTTCTCTGAGCATTGATGGTTTTTCAATCTGAAAATAAGGTAATGTTGGACTAGATGTCGACTTACAAACATTTAGTACTACAATTCACAGGAAGGTGGGCACTGTTAGCCAGGACACACACACCAGTTTCACATTACAGAACTGTACTTACTGTTACTGTCAACCTATAACTCGAGATCCCCAGGATACTGCACCCCCATCACAGTTATGGGTGTAAAGAGTGTGTAAGAGAATGATTTGATTGTGCTGAAAAGCCAGAAGTCACTTGAATTCTTTCTTAAGGTAATTACCTTGAGTGCTAGGCAAAAAAACCCACTTTGCCATAGAAATGTTGTTTTTCTAATAGAAAAGAAATCTAATACTACATTTTTGAATCCAAAGAAAACCCAGGTTCTGGCCTCCAAAATGCTTCTGACAGACTATATAATCCATAAAAGTGGTGTGAAGAAAATATGTTGCTTCCATCAGGAATTCTGGGGGGAAAAACATTGACATTATTTGTAGCAATTTCCAAGGACTGGTTCTCTATAAATATAAAATGTTATTCTAGTCACCCTTCAGAGTTAGAAAGAAAAAATATTCTGAAATATTTTCTTAAAAAAAAAATAACAAGACTTTGAATCCTGAGTAATTGCTACCATTCATTCAAACATAGAAGAAAAAGTTATAAAGGAACGTAGAATCCATTTTCCTATCCCAAATTCTTTTACTTAATTGAAAAAAAAAAGGCTGTGTCCTCAATCTACAGGCTACAGGAACCCCCAACAGTGTGGTGGGAAACAACCAGTTTCTGTTGAGACACTCCTTGTTGTGAAGACTTCAATGGATTTTATGAAAAGGAAGCTGTAGTAGAGTGAACGAGGAGGAAGCAGTGCCATCTTTATGAAGATTCTGATTTTTCCATACAGGTCCCTGCAGCTGTTTTCTGTGCAGCATAATCTAGTGGGGTGACACATTACCTTGCTAGTTGGTTCCAGAAGTTGGTCAGCTGTTTTGATATCTCTCTGAGGAGTTGTCTTTTGGCACTCACGGTGTAGTCACCTCCTAAGACTGCAATTTCCCAGACCTCAATTGCCTGTGAAATCTCTTTTGGAAAGGCTAAAATAACTACCAAGGGCACCGTTACCTTGCTTTTTCTACCCTGTACATTAGTGTTTCATGTCTTGGTGGGTAAGAAAAGAAATTATGGCGGGTGAAGAGGGAAATTTGAATTAGATCTAAGGCAATAGATGTGGCTGAATGTCAATGGAGAGAATGTATGATGAGATGTTTCTTGTTCTAAAAACATCTGAGAACTCTGTATCCTTGAAATTCCTGGATATTCTACTTATTACCTATGATGATGCTAATGAAAGTAATAAAGCTATAGTAAATATTCAATGATCTTTAATTAAGTTCTGGACACTGCACCAAGCACTTTAACCCAAGAGGCAAATTCTATTATCATCCTTATTCTGCAATTGAGAAGATTGCTCTTTCAAGAGGGTTAGTGACTTGCCCCAGTAGCAAAGCTAATAAGTGACACTGCCAGGATTTGAAGATGAGTCCAAAGCTCATGCTTCTAGTCAGTATGCTGTGTTGCCTTCTTGATGTCCACAGTGGAAAACCAATGGCATTCGGAAATAATGCTTTCTCCAAAATCCTAATGGAGTAGCACTATAGCTATTTTTAAATATTTTTGCTTCTTTCAAATTTGTCAGTTTACAATGTTTCTGAAGTAACCATCCATAATTATGCTTTCTTCCAGAAATGAATCCACTTTGCTGTATCACATGACATGTGGGCATGTGACTCACTTCCTATTATAGTGAATGGTCTGGGCTTTAGCACATGATTCAGCTGAGCCAATCAGAATCCTTCACCTTTCCAACCAGAAGTGCTAGAGAAGTGTCTTTGGTTATACGAGCATACAAATCACCTTTTGGCAGGGTTGTTATTTCTGGATAAAGTTCTGAAAGGGTCCAGATTATTTATTTATTTTTTATTTAGTTGACAGGTAGAGTTAGAGAGAGAGAGAGAGAGAGAGAGAGAGAGAGAGAGAAAGGTCTTCCTTCCATTGGTTCACTCCCCAAATGGTCGCTATGGTCGGTCGGAACTGTGTTGATCCAAAGCCAGGAGCCAGGTGCTTCCTCCTGGTCTCCCATGCCGGTGCAGTGGCCCAAGCACTTGAGCCATCCTCCACTGCCTTCTCGGGCCACAGCAGAGAGCTGGACTGGAAGAGGAGCAACCGGGACTAGAACCCAGTGCCCATATGGGATGCTGGTGCCGCAGGCAGAGGATTAACCAAGAGAGCCACGGCACTGGCCCAAAAGGGTCCAGATTAATGCAACTTTATCCCCAGTTCTTTCTTAGCTTTTTCCTTTTAAAAATTTATTTTATTTATTTGAAAGGCAGAGTTATGTGGGGGGGGGCCTTCCATCCATTGATTCACTCCCCAAACAGCTGCTACTGAAGCCAGGAGCCAGGAGTTCCATCTGGATATCCCAGGTGGATGCAGGGCCCCAAGGGCTTGGGCCATCTTCTGCTGCTTTCCCAGGTGCATTAGCAGGGAGCTAGATTGGAAGTGGAGCAGTTGAGACTCGAACTAGTGCCCATAACGATGCTGGTGTTGCAGGCGGCAGCCTAACTTGCTTAGCCACAATGCTGGCCCATCCGCTGTTCTTCTTAATCTGTCGCAGTGCAGGCCCCACAGTACAATTTAGCTACAGGGGAATTTGGTTTTCTGCCTATAAAGTCCAAGAAATTCATTTGAGTGTAAATGAAAAATTAGATGAAGATGGAAGTCCTATGCAGAAGAAGTGCCCTTAGTATAATGGTTGGAGGACACAGTTCCAAAGGAAGTTACATTTCCTCTCTAAATATTTGTTTAAATATGGTACGAAATTTTCACAAGAAGAAGATGCTACAGAAGATTCTAATTTGCCTAAGTGTAGGAGAGTCCTGAGGATTTTCTGGATCCGATCGCCTATTTTATGCCAATTTTGAGGATTCATCATACCATCCAGCTCTATAAAATATTTCTCCTCTGGGCGCTTCTGTTTGCGTAAATTTTCTATATTGGGTATGCACTTTTTTTTAAAGTGGAACTTTTCCCCATTGTGTACATCCCCCCCGCCCCCCCAGGGACCCATAAGAAAAAGAAATATCAGCATGTTTTTCTAAACAGAGATTTGCACTAAACACAAAAATCTAGCTACAAGTAAATCATGCTGTGATCTTGAGGGATAAAATAAACACAAAGCAATGCAGAGCTGTGTTTTGCCAGAGCCAAATGGAACATGACGTTCAGAAGTTTCCAATTGAATTCCAAAATTAGAATAAATCTTGGCAAAATGCATACTCACGTCCCATTAGGAATCTTATCATTAGGACTCAGTTTTGGCTACTCCAGGCCTTACTCATTCCAGTAGCTCCCAGGAGACCTGAGAGCCTGACTCTACGTGTTCTGGAGCTTCCCCAGGAATTGGTGACTTTTGCTTTGCAATTGGCAAGGCTGCGCCCTATTAAGGATGGAAATAGGGCATCAAAACCTCGGTTAGTGATCTAAGACTTGAAGGCCCGCTTCCAGGCCCGTTTTTCTAGGAACTCCAGCTTTGGCTGCTGGATTTGAGCTTTCAGTGGTTATCACACCTTGGTTTTACAACTGCAGCTTTCTGAGAAGTAGTTGGATATAGGTGTCAGATCTAAGCCTTTTGGCTGGTCCTTGAGTTCATGTCTACTGTGAAAGGAATTAATAGATCGCACATTCCATAAGAATTTGGGCAGCTCGTTTTCAGATTAGAAGAACATTTTCCAGTATTGGAATCTTCTAGAGTAGGTACTCTGATTCAAATGATTGTGAGAGTTCCTATCTCACAATCTTACTATTGTCAGGAAGTTGTTCAAGATAGCCATATATTCACCAGTGACTGTCAAGTGAGGGCAAGTAAACAGTGACTGAGTTACCTTCCAGGGTGAAGATAACAAACTTTATCACCAAAGTGCGCTTGAAGCTCTTCCTTCTTTTGTTTATGTACCTCTAAGCACAAGGCCTCAACCTGCACCTCTACTCATGAATCAGAGCGAAGACATTTTTGCCAACTCATGTCCACGTAGTCCCTTTGCATGCTGTGTTTGTTCTAACCTCAAAACTTTGTCTGTTTTCAGTTTTCCCTCTTGGACTGCTTCCTTCTACTCTCCAGATGCCATCTCAGATTTTACGCCCTGTGTGTGACGTCCCTGTCAATGACTTCAGCCCACTTTGGTTGCTTGCCTCTCTTTTCTCATTGTCTGCCATCACACAAGCACTCCTTCATTCATATTCAGTCTTTCTTTTTTTCTGCAGTTGTGTGTCCCACAACTGTACTAAAACATTTTGAAGTCAGGGCACATATTTCAGACTTCTTTTTAATATCTCTTGCAGTTTGGGCAATAGGTACTTGATATTTGGCAAAATGCTTAATGTAAATCTCACAGAAGATTTGCAAAATCTCTATGCTAACAACTGAAGACTAACTGAGATCAACTGAAGAAGCTCTAATGAGTTTTTTTTTTTTTTAAGACAGAGTTACAGAGAGAGGTAGAGACAAAGAGAGAGGTCTTCCATCTGCTGGTTCACTCCCCATATGGCTGCAACGGCTGGAGCTGCGCAGATCCGAAGCCAGGAGCCAGGAGCTTCTTCCAGGTCTCCCGCATGGGTGAAGGGGCCTAAGGACTTGGGCCATCTTCTATTGCTTTCCCAGGCCATAGCAGAGAGCTGGATCAGAAGAGGAGCATCTGGGACTAGAACCAGCACCCATATGGGATGTTGGCTCTTCAGGCCAGGGCTTTAATCCGCTGCGCCACAGTGCCTGCCCCTCTAGTGAGATCTTAAATACTCCCAACATCCACACAAAACAGGTAACTGTGAGGTTTTGGACATGTTAATTAACCTGATTTGGCAATCATTTCACACACAAATATAAAACACCATGCTGTACAAGTTGAGTATATACAACTTTTATTTGTCAATAAATCTGAAGAAAGATCCAAACAAATAAAAGCATAGATCATGCTCAGGGATTGGAAGATTCAAATGCTATTATGTAGAAGAATATCTTCATGAAAGTGGGAAAAGGCCTTTCGGCCGGAGCCGCCATCTTCCAGTAATTCGCCAAGATGACGAACACAAAGGGAAAGAGCCGAGGTACCTGGTACATGTTCTCCAGGCCTTTCAGAAAACATGGAGTTGTTCCTTTGGCCACATACATGCGCATTTACAAGAAAGGTGATATTGTGGACATCAAGGGAATGGATACTGTTCAAAAAGGAATGCCCCATAAATGTTACCATGGAAAAACTGGAAGAGTCTACAATGTTACCCAGCATGCTGTTGGCATTGTTGTAAACAAACAAGTGAAGGGCAAGATTCTTGCCGAGAGAATAAATGTGTGTATTGAACACATTAAGCACTCTAAGATCCGAGATAGCTTCTTGAAACGTGTGAAGGAAAATGATCAGAAAAAGAATGAAGCCAAAGAGAAGGGTACCTGGGTTCAACTAAAGCATCAGCCTGCTCCACCCAGAGAAGCCCACTTTGTCAAAACCAATGGAAAGGAGCCTGAGTTGCTGGAACCCATTCCTTATGAATTCATGGCAGGATAAATGTAAGATAAATAAATAAGACCTAATTGATAAAAAAAAGAAAGTGGGAAAGGTTAAGATTTCATAATTAGCACATAAAACCTACTAACTATAAAATTGATTAATTAGGCTACATTAAAAACAAGAATATCCATTTAGCAGAGACAGCATTAAGAGATTGAAAAATGAAATCATGAGTTAGAATAAGACAGTTGCAAATCGTATATCTAAAAAGGACTTGTATCTAAATATATAAAGATCCCCTTGAAATGAATAAGACTGTAAACAGACTTGGAGAGGTAGGTTTATAAGAAGATAACTCTGAATAGTCAGTGAACATATGAAAGGGTACCGCTAACATAATTACTCACCTGGAAACTACACATTTAAATCATGAGCTTCATAAACACAAGCATCAGAATTGCCAAAATGAAAAGCATATTGAATATCAAGGGTAAGTGAAGATTTGGAACTCTTATACATGGTTGGTTTACAATGTTGTTATGCACTTTTCAAATCTAGCAAAACCTACAAAAGCTGAATATATATATATATATATAATATGAACTAGCACTTTCACTTCTATATGTACTAATGTATATGTCAAAAGACATGTAGGAAAAACACTTGTAGTGACACTATAACCCCATGTGAAGACAACCCTAGAATGGGCAAATAAATGCAGTAAATCCACATAAAGAAATTCTTCAACAACAAGAATGAACAAAGTATTGCTATATATAACAATCTGGATGAATCTCACATACACATTACTGAGCAAAAGAAGTAAGACATACAGAATATCTGTTGTATCATTGAATTTCCTTTAAGTACAAAATGAACCAAAACTAGTCTATGGTAACCTGTGAGGGAGAAGATGGAGGCTGGGCCTATGCCAGGAGAAAGAGAGCTCTGGGAATCAACACTGTTCTATTTCTTCATTGGGGTGATGGTCCCAATAGTTTGTTCTTTTTGTGAAAATTCATTGAACTCTACATCTACTTAACTGTTGTGCACTTTTTCCATGTGTGTGAAGTGTTTGTGCTTCAAAGCCAAAGGTTACATCCTAGGAGGATGCGATGCTACCCAGCAGGGATTTTGTCCACTGCTTTGCTTCTGCTCCTAAGTGGAGGAATGGAAAAATGAAGAAAGTTTGAGTGAACTAACTCATAAATCAGGTTTCAAACCTCATCTTGACCCCAGAAAGGCTAAAGCAATGGTTTGAGCTACTCAACTCCTCCTGTTTCAGCAAATTGACTCATAAAACCATTTTATAGATATTCCTTTGCTTCGTTTTCAACAAGGAAAACATCTTTATTAACATCGCTGTCCTCATCACCTTCCAGTTGTAGCTCATCTCCTGACTTAGAATTTCCTAAGTCTCATGATGACGATCTTGTCGAATCTTGCGTTATCACTGTGTGTCATTTTTTCTTACTCCATCAGTCCCACTTCCTGAGGACAACGTAGCACTGAGCTGCTCAGCGTGGTACACAGGGAAAGGCTAAAGGCTGGATTTTTTAAAAAGTTTAATTTAATTAGATTAACAGTACTTATTAACAATTAATTTAATTTAATTTAATTGTTAGGGTAACAAGCTAAGTGGGTGGCTTCGGCTACATCTGGTTGTGCCTTGGCTCCTTTCCTTTGTGAGTAGTATAGAAAGCCCCTGTTCCACTAAAACCCATCGTGGGGCTGAGCCCTTTTTGCTGGAGTCTGCAAGATCACAGGTTTGATTTCCCAAGCTTATTCTTGGATATTCAGATTGGCTTCAGATAGCCCAGCCAGAATATTTTTGGATGTTGAAGGAAAGATGGAAAAGATATTCTGCTGTTTTTGTATAAATTCTATCAATTATACCAAAGTTAGGTGAGAAACTGTTGGATTTGAAGTCTAGAAGCCCTGAGTTTAAAATGTTTCTGCTCAATAACTTACTAACTGGAATTGCCATGGTGTTGGAGTGGAGGCTGTGAGAATTTAACACCTGGTCTCCTATGTTCCCCCAGCGGGACAGTAATGCCATCCCATAGGCAGACTAGAAGGATTCGTTCATGTATTCAGCTTTCAACATTCAATATTTCCTCTAAAATGCTGTGTCAGATACTCCTTCAGCCCAGGGGAGTTTCCAGATGCTCACAGTTCAGCTGATGAGAAAGATGTATGAACAAACCAAGTCAGTATTTCTCAACCTTTTATTCATTATTGGCCTCTAAGGAGCCTTTTTAGGTATTTTTTCCCATAATCTTTCCACCCCATCCATGAAAGCTTAATACCACAGATCTATTATTATTTGTTTATGTACTGTATGTGTAGTTTTATTTTATAATAAAAAGAGAAAAAATGTTTTCAGCCTACTCAGCTTCCCCTGCTTGAGAACCACTTCCAGCTCCCTTGAGGGAGTTATTGACCCCAGTAGAAACAAAGCAAACAATCACAGAGGAGTATAGTGAGTGCAGCAGGACAAACAGGTACAGGCTAGCAATCACACAGAACAAATCAGAAATAGCCGGCAGCCACAGGGAAGGAGGGTACCCTAGGAAAGGCATAGGGGGTGCAAGGTAGTGTACCTGCTCAGGGGTGGGTACAAGAGAGGTGATAAGAGGCAGGGGCAGTCACAGAGGGCCCTGAATACTGAGCTCAAGAGAGTAGATCTTGCCCCCAAAGACACTGGGGACACAAAATTTTAAGAAGAGAAGTGACTTGCTCAAATTTATACATTTGAAAGTGCACTCAGGCCTCTGTGTGGATGAGGCAGGGGAAGTTACATCAGAGATAAAGGCAGAATTATGACTTGAATAAGGGCAGTTGCCAATGAGCATGAGAAGAGAGATTTTTGGGAGAAAATAAGTGAATCAGTTTAGGTGCAAGCATCTGGCATGCTGTAGGTAAGTGATAATAAGACTTATTGCTAAAATCTAGGAATTTGGGATGATTGGACAGTTTGGCCTTTCAGAATCTTCCCAGAGGGCACAGAACCTGATCATGTGAAGGTCTCAGGGACTGAGGTTTGGGATCTGTTCAGTGTTTTTCTTTGAGTAGAGCACATCTGGCCAGTGGCCCCCAGGGGACTACACAGGCTGCTCATAGCCTGGGCCTAGATTATCAAGCTGACTGATCCCATGGATTATGTAGCAATGTAATGACAGTACAGGCCACAGGCATTCTCAGACCTGTGCAGGGTTTTATTCCTAACTTCATATGCTCCCTTGCCTCAGTTTCAGCCAAATCTGGACCTACGGGCTGCTCCTTGATTCTACACCTGCCATCTCTTTTGCCTGGCTTTGATCTCTCCAGGGACTCACCGGATTCACCTCCAAGGCCCTTGAGAAGTGACCAAACTCTCCTGCTTGCAACTCACAGTGAATTAGACTACATGTGGATGACCCAACATGAAGTCATTCATTTCCTAACTGTTAGAAGCTTTTCAGCATATGAAAAAAACAGAAAGAAGACATCAGTGATGTAGCATGCAGGGAGGAGTGAAGACTGCTCACAGGAATGCCTTTTCCATTAAGTGCAGGGGTAGGGGTACCTGTTGGTAATAGGAGGAATGCTTGCCATTCCTGGAAGTTGGGGAAGAACTCAGGAGGTGGAGCAGCAAGGGTGGATGCTGTTCATGTCTCTTCTTCCCTCTGCACTGGGGAACTGGCAGCAGCCACCCCAGAGAGCAGCCAGAGACCACCCTGCTCTGGACAGGGAGATGTCTATCCACTGCCTGGGACCATGGGATGCACTTTAAAGCTCTTTCTCATTGACTCGTGCACAGCACACTTGCAGTGTTTGATAAAATGGCTTTCAAGTTAAAGATAAATGCCTTGTTTGCCTATTCTGAATCAAATCCGTCCACAGGTAACCACCTCCTCAACTCTCATCCTCATCATCATAGATTCTTTACAGTCTTTTCCAGGCAGCAGGAATTAAGAACTGAGAAGGTCTCCCTCCTAACTACCCCAGTGAACCTCCCTTCTCTCTGGTTTTCACACCTTCCTTTGGCTCCCCACTGGCTCTGTGCTTTGCCTAACCAGTTGGACTTAACCATCAGGTCTCTGTTTACCTTGGCTCTGTCATGGACTGCCTTCAGCACACGGCTTTTTGAAATTGCCCTTCATGCTTTGTAATGCAACTTGGGAAAATGGCTCTGGCCCTATGCCTGCTCATGGTGTAGGAGTTCAGTTCCACAGGGCCTACAAAGCCCTCTAGATTCCTCTTCTTTGTTAGGAGAAAGTGGAAGGACAGTGCTGAATTGCAGCTGGAGATGAGCACAGTTTCAAAGCTTGCTAAAGAGTCCCCAGATATTCCAGTGAGGCCTGAGCTTCTGACTTGGCTTGAGTTCCATTCAAGGCAAGCATCACTCAACTATATAAAAGGCACTTCCCTGGTGGGTGTGGTGGTACAGCAGGTTAAACCACCACTGGGATGCCTACATCCCATATCAGAGTGCTAGTTCAAGTTCTGGCTGGTCTGCTTCCAATCCAGCTTCCTGCTAATGCATGTCAAGAGGCAGCAGATGATGGTTAAAGTGCTTGGTGCCCTGCTGCCCACCACACAGGAGACCTGGAGGGAGTTCCAGACTTCTGATTTCAGCCTGCCTCTACCCCAGCTGTTGCAGGCATTTGGGGAATGAACCAGTGGGTGGAAGATTCTCTCTCTCTCTCTCTCTCTCTCTCTCTCTCTGTGTGTGTGTGTGTGTGTTTCCATTGTTCAAGGAGATAAAAATAATTTTTTAAAGACATATCTAAAGGGTGCCGACTTGCACATTTTGGTGTCTGGAGGGAGGTCTTCGGTGCCATGCCACAGTTCCTGACATTATCAATGTTTAAAAATTAACCAGATTAAGAGTTTTGTAAATATGTTAAACACTGCAAAGCATACAAAGCTGGAAGCTGAAATCAGGACACTGGGATTCAGAGCAACTTTGAGAAGCTGAGCACTGATGTAACATCTAGGGGAACATGAAAAGTGTTAATGACAAGTAGAAACAAACTTCATAGTGCAAGAGAAAGGAGATGCTGTGTGCCATAATGAACTAGAAGAGACTTTAAGACTTTAGTTGACCATAGGATCAAGGGTATAAAGTTAGCACTTCAAACTCCACATACCCCAAACTCAGCATGTCAGATGTGTACCTCCCTTGT